TATATATATATAGTTGCGACAAAACAGGTGTCGCTACCTACTCCAACATCTAAGAGATAAGGAAGTATCAGAACTAAATAAAAGTAGTTATAATTAGAGGGATCAAAATCATTGCCTGTAAATTAATACACAAGGGTTAAATAATTAAACTTATTTTAACATGATATGTTTCATTTATGTAGAGCTAATTATTTATTACCCCCTTTTGTCCTTATTACAATGTACAATTTAGAAGAAAATGATGATTCTTTTTTATAAGGTATTTTATAATTTGTATAAAACATTAATTTTATTTCCATCTTTTGTCCTTATTAATGATTGTAAGAATATGTGGTTCTTGTTATTAGATAATGAGAAGAGAATTTGAGATATAAATATTCTCTCTTTCTCACCTCTTAATTTTTCATTGTCATTTATTAATTTTATTAGTAATTGATGCATAAACTTTGATATTGAGTAATATTTTCACCCCTTCATGAAAATTTATTAATAAGTAATGAGGGTAAAATTGATATATCATGATTTTGTCTTATAAATTCAATAAAATCAACTAACATGACTATTCACAGCATCCACAATGCAAGTTGCCTAGCCATGTATCTTATTTTATTTTATTGAGTCCTCTTAAGCAATCCATTTAATTTTCATTCCAATGCAAATTCTTATAAAAATATGATTTACTCACAAATATTTTTCTTTCTTCAATATCTCATATTACCTTTTTTACATATATACATAAATGATAAGCAACTCACAAGTAAGAATTAGTTATTTAAGCAACCCTCTTTAATTTTAGCAACTCAAAATCATACATAACACACAAAATAATATTTTATTATTAAATAACCCATAGACAACTCAGAGATGCTCTTTTATTAGTTTAAGTGATTTGTAAATACTTTATAATATCGATCAGAAAGAGTATTTGTTATTTGACCATTTAATGTGGTCTGGATAAAGTACTTATATTCTAGTAAAAATTGAAAATAGACATTTTAGTTTTTCATTAAAGTTATATTCTATCATTTTAATCTTTAAATATATCGATATAGTCATTTTAGTCACATTTAAACAAATAGATTAATAAAATAGCCAATTTTTACTTTTAGAAACTTATTTAACACTTTTTATTATTATTTTTTTATTTAATGATTAGTGAGACAATGTCTTCCAAATTTATTATTCAATGCTTGTCTACTCCTCACCAAAATTCACCCAATTGCTAATCTCAGTTTACTAACCGAACCGCACCTCTTGGTTCCATGTGTCAAAGTTTCATTGCTGATCAATGTGTCCATATTTAAAAGAAAATTTTCCCGCCACATCTTGGGTTCCAATGGCAATGGTTTCTTGCCATGTATATTGAGTTCAGCTATGAGCAATTGCATTGCATTCCTTTAATTTTTCTTTTATTCAACAAGGTTTCCTACGTGTCTATGTCTATTTCCTTTTCTTCATATCATTTTAGCAATTGAGATTTGATCCTCTACCTAATTAATATAAATTGTTTTATGTGTAACTATGGTACATAAACCGATACACTTGGTAAATCACAAATAAGCGCATAAAATGAAAACTTTATTGATGGTGGGAACTTAAACAGAGTCGTTGGTTCTTCAAGGCAGCTTCAACGACAATACAACATGGAATCATGGGAAACGATTCTTATGAATAATATTATACTACTACTACGTCACTAGCGCTACTTATTACGTAGCACTAGGATTCTAGAAAATTTGCTAGATAGTGAACACCATAAATTCTTTGTTGTTCATGCCAATTCGTCACTGAAACTTTATGTTTCTCATCCTGCAAGTTAAAAGCAAGAAAAAATAAAAAAGGTAAGTCCATGATACGCAAGTAAAAATGCATTTTCAAAGTTAGTAGATGTACATGTATATATAATTAACAACTGTAACAGCAACTTGTGCTTTGTGGTTGAAAGATGAAGATTCTTCCTATAATTTAGTGGATGTTTTGCATAGACCTTGTACATAGTTAGGGATCATTTTGGCAGAATATAAAACTTATTTGACTTGTGAAAATGTCTTAGACTTCCCATAAGTTATTTTTAACTTAGTTTAGACAAAAATACATTTATCTAGGTGCTTTTGGTGCTATTCTCTTATAAGAATTGAAGTTTCACCTTGAAAATTTTTGTTACCAGGTGAAACAGTTATGCAGTGTTTTAGATGTTATTGTCCGACCAGAATTAGAGTTTTATTTTGATAATCTATGTTAACCTTGAATGAAAATCTTCATTACGTGAATTACTAGGTGAAACTTCAATTCTTATCGAGAAACAATACCAAAAGTACCTCTATATAGTTGTATCTCTCCTTACTCAAAAGCATTCAAAGATATAAATTAAAAAGGTAGAAATAACGTTTGTTTAATAAGCAAGATGCATGCGGGGGAATAGAGTTATGAATTTAGAGCTAGTTAGTGATAACTGATAGATAATGCAGTACCTTTTCTCCTCTTAAGAGCCTCCACTTTGCTTGTAATTTGGGAATGGCACTTGGCCTGATTCAATGTGCCTAACATCCCTGAGGAGGAGTTCATAGTGCCTCTTCACTTCCTCTGGAGTCTTGCCACCAACAGCCCTAGCAACATTGTACCAACGGTCAGGAGTGTCCTTATCATAAACAGCCAGAGCCCTTTCAAAGGCCTTGTTGTCCTTGGCACTCCATGAGCCTGTGGATGACATTGAGCTTGATGCCATTTCTTGAACCAAATAACTCACTATAGAGAATGGTGTAACTTGAGGGTGTTATAGGAGTTGAAGAGTTGTTGATGTTGTATAGAGGAAACAATGTGTGATCCTTTTATAGCCAAAGGTGGAGAGTGTAGAGTGGGGGTATAGAGCCAGTTGGAATGCAATCTTGCCAAAATGAAGTAGAATTTGAATGATTTGTCTCCTCAGGAACCACATAATAGAGCAGGACCAAGAAGTTTAGCAGCATTATGGAAGAATCAGTATCTTCAAACAGTAAAAATAAGTGAGTGAATTGATAATGTTTTTTTTTTTTAACTTTTTGTCTTTCTTCCCCCATTTACTTTTCTTAGATATGCAAATCACATCAAGTTAAAATTTTACTTTCTTATATTTCAAGCTGGTGGATTTAGAGAACTCCGCAGTCCACACATTGATAAATTAACAGTTGAGATTTGAGAAGACTTCCCCAAGTTGATACTAATGTGTTGAGCACCTTGCACATATCAGTGGTTGAGCAAAGGGACACGACCGACCATCTTCTTTGTATTAAACAGTGAATTTCAGTTGTGGTTCAGATACTTAGAACGTATGTGAGAGACCCATCAACTAGATCACCTAATGGCTAGCTTTATTCTATTCTCTTGCCTGCATGGTCTCTAGTGGGTCCAAGCCAACCATCTATATCAAAGCTTTCACAAATGCATGACTAAGGCAATTCAAGGATAAGTTTTAAGCTCATTAACAAAATATTGTTTATTATTAGTTTTTATAAAGTAAAAAGATCACATGATAAAAAGATTTTATATTTTCTCAAACTTCATTTTAGGCCTCACTTGTTGTTGGATCGAGTCAGAATGCATCACACACCACAATATCTTATTGAGAATAGTACCATTGCAAAGAAAAATCCCCTTTGGTTTTAAATCATTGCAGGTGATCTTAATTGTGAATGTAGTTTGTCCTGAACAACATTCCAACACTAGTTGGCCAGTGTCACCCGTACAATGATTATTGTTTGTTCAAAATCAGAAGGATAGGTCATATGGTTACCTATTACACTTTTTTAGCTGTTGGGACCCCTCCCCCTCCCCTGACTACTAACTAGGTTTCTGATCTAATTCGATAATGTTAATTAGGATAAATTTTTATATAAGCATATTAATAAAGTGAGATGAATCAAATTTCTTTTATAAATTAATTTATGCATTTCAACTTTTTGAAGAAGTTAAATTAGAGAGTTTTCATAGAAGTGCATAAGAGTTGATTTTGATCTGTGAGTTGAATTTATTTTATCTTCTTATTTTCTTCTTTTATATTGTGTTTGATGATGATTACTTAGATGGTCCGAAAAATTGTGTTGTTTATTTAGGACAATGTATCCTCTATTCCTTCAATAACAATAACCTCATAAGTTGTTGTCTAGTTTAAGCAATCTGTCTTAATTTTGAGAAAGACATTACCTTGAAGAATAGCCATTGGCCATGAAGTGAACACATTGAAATATCAATACACAACGTTTTTAGCACTGTGGATCCATTGAACTTGACCTTAAAATCATGTGACATGGACAAGTGATTAAAAGAACAAGTTTGATAGGGGAACAGTTATTGTATTTTCATTATTCTAATGTCCCGATTAGTTTAAGTGACTACACCAAATAACAGCAAATGCAGTACTCCTATATATGTATAATGAGAGGGTTAAATATTGATTGTTAAATCTTAACACCAAAAAGGGTTAAAACTTTTGAAGTGATGGCATGACATTAAATTTAACCATATGTGTATAATATGTGGTCCAAATTTACTCCTTTCACTCTTATACAAAAATGACTCTCGTACTTGATGTGTCTCTACATGTTCAAATCCTACCCTTCAGGGTTTTCCCTCTAATCATTAAATACTAATTTTGGTATTTTGGTCATTATCTTTAGCTGCAAAGTTTGGTCATGCCTCATTCAAACAGGAAACAAGTATGGAGTTTGTGCCTTTGGCAAAGTAAACACGTGGTGTAGTCTAGCTAGCTCCTTCATCTGATTGGCTACAAGGAACATCCACAAATTCCAAAACAATTAAAGCAATTTAAGTCATATCTGATTGTTCATGGGCAATACTGATAATATATAAATGATTAACACTAACTTTTATGCCCCTTCTCAACGTGTTGTGGTTGACAAGTACTAAATTCAATGAACAGGGTATCGGTCTTCACATAAGTTGAAGTAACATTATTCAATTCAATTATACAACTACTATTTTTTTATGAGTATTATACAACTACTATAAAAGCTAGCAAAATATGTTGTGACAGACACGATCACTTAAAGATAGATCGCACAAAAACAAACTAATGTAATGTTTACGATTTTTTAATAGATATTTATACCTATATATAAATGAGATGTTTTTTGGTATATATATTATTGTTGACAATTTTAATTTTTAAAAAATTATATAATAATTAATAGAAATAAAAAAATTAATATAATTTTTTACTATGTTAATAACTACTTACTATTTTCATGTATTTAATGTTATGAAATGGATCAAGTCAAGATGGCCAACAACAACACAATAACGAATGTGAAAGCGATAAAGCGATAAAAGACACGAATTTGTTAACCCAGTTCGGATAAAAATCCTATGTCTGGGGGCGATACCAAGCCAGGAGAAATCACTCAAAAGAGGAGGATAAACCGAGGAGTACAACTCACACACACTTGTATGAAACACTCACTCTCTCAACTCAACTCCTTTCTTATTTCTCACTTGGAATTTCTGCACACAAAATGAGGTTTGCCTACAATGGTATATATAGCCAAGCCAATGTCCCAAACTTGTTCAACCCCATTGGGATTGCTTTGAGTCTACACTAGGTTTTGGCATCTCCAAACTTGCAAGACTCCCTTGCATGGAGTACACTCCTCAATTTGTTATTGCTTTCTTCCTAAGTCTTCTATTATGCAATCTTCACACCTTAACAATCTCCCACTTGAAGATTGATCAGCTTTTCTCCTCTTCCTTCTTGGTACTACCGGGTCTGTCTGCTTAGTTGTCAAGGCCGGTCGAAGCTGCACACAGCTTCAACTTCTCCAAAGTCACCGCCTTGGTCAGCATGTCTGCAGGGTTCTTGTCCCCCTGGATCTTCTCGAGCTGCAGTGCCTTCTTCTCCAGAAGATGCCTGATGAAATGATACTTGACCTCGATGTGCTTCGTTCGTGAGTGAAACGCGGGGTTCTTTGCCAGATGGATCGCACTCTGGCTATCACTATATAGAGCCACATACTCCCGAGGTCTCCCAAGTTCATTCAGGAAATTCTGCAGCCAAACGAGCTCCTTGGCTGCCTCCGTCACTGCCACGTACTCAGCTTCCGTCGTTGACAGTGCAACAATCTTCTGCAACTTTGATATCCAGGATATGGCTGTTCCGCCGTAAGTAAACACGTACCCAGTAGTGCTCCTCCTCTTATCGAGGTCACTTCCTGCAAAATCAGCATCGACAAACCCAGACAGGGTAAGGTTACCCCTGCCAAACATCAATACCCGGTCCTTAGTACCCCTCAGGTACCTAAGGATCCACTTTACTGCCTCCCAGTGCATTACTCCGGGATTGCTCATGAATCGGCTGACAACTCCCACTGCATGTGCTATGTCTGGCCGGGTGCAGACCATAGCGTACATCAAGCTCCCAATGGCCGAAGCATACGGCGTACCCCTCATCCTTTCTCGTTCAGAGTCATCCTTGGGCGAATCTTTGTTGGACAACTTAAACTGGCTTCCCAGTGGCACTCCAACCGGCTTTGCAGCTTCCATCTTGAATCTGCACAACACCTTCTCAATATACTCAGATTGAGAAAGCCATAATTTACCAGTATTCCTGTCCCTCGTGATTTTCATGCCCAATATCTGCCTTGCTTCGCCTAGATCCTTCATGTCAAATCTCCTTGACAACTGATCCTTGAGCCTGTTGATCTCCATGACATTTGATCCTGCTATCAACATGTCATCCACATACAGGAGTAGAATAATGAAAGAGTCACCGAACCTCTTCACATAACAGCAATGATCAGCACTACACCTGGAGTACCCTATCTCCAGCATGAAGTTATCGAACTTCCGGTACCACTGTCGCGGAGCCTGTTTCAATCCATACAAGCTCTTCTTCAGGCGACAGACCTGCTGATCATCTCCCTTGTACCCCTCCGGCTGTACCATGTAGATTTCCTCTTCGAGATCCCCGTGCAGAAAGGCCGTCTTCACATCCATCTGCTGTAACTCCAAGTTCTCCGCCGCTACCATGCTTAACACTAGGCGAATAGTGGTTATCTTAACAACAGGTGTAAAAACATCGGTAAAATCAATACCGTATCTCTGCTGGAATCCCTTCACTACAAGTCTGGCCTTGTATCGCTTTTTTCCGTCTGATTCTTCTTTGACTCGATAGACCCATCTGTTCTGAAGAGCCTTCTTTCCTTGTGGGAGTTGACACAATTCCCATGTGTCATTCTTCTTCAACGAGCACATTTCGTCGTCCATCGCAAGCTCCCACTTGCTCTTGTGGTCATCATTGACCGCCTCTGCATAGCATTCGGGTTCCCCACAATCAGTCAAAAGCAAATAGTAGAGAGAGGGTGAATACCGCTCCGGGGCCCTTCTCTTCCTTGTAACTCGGCCCAGTGCCAGGGGTGTCCTGCTTTCTGTTTCCCTTGTCGCCCGGAATTCAAAGGGCGGCGGTGGTTCGGGCTCTGACTCCTCCTCTGTTTGGTCGGTTTCCTCCATCTGAACTCCCACTGAATCATTGTCTGCTGGTCTCGGGATCCTGGTGTTTGATATGTCGAGACCAACCACTTCCTTTTCCATCTTGCCATCGTTCAGGCTCTCCTTCTTGTCCTTGTACATCATGCCTTCATCGAACACCACATTACGACTACGAATTATCTTCCGGTTAAGATCATCCCAGAACTTATACCCAAATTCGTCAGTCCCATATCCAATGAATGTACACTTAATCGACTTAGCATCCAGCTTAGTCCGATCATCGTTCAAAACATAGGCTAAACAACCAAAGGTGCGTAAGAAAGAGAGATCAACTTCCTTACCACTCCAGACTTCCTCTGGAATCCTGTTGTTCAGCGGGACAGAAGGCCCACGATTGATCAAGAAAGCAGCCGTGCTGACTGCTTCTGCCCAGAACATCTTGGGCAGTC